GTGAATCTTGTGGAGTAGGTGGATCCGACCTGGTCCAAAGTGTTCTGAAAGTTGAGCACTCGAGGGATGACATGTGCAACTTCGTTATTTTTTGCGATTTTCCCATCGGATATATTTATGTCATATTTCACTGAATATTGGGGTTCTTGGAACTATCAAGGGTCAAATCTAGTCTCACATCAATCTGGGGAACTTTTTTTTGTCCCAAATGTCATATCTTGGACCCATCTACCACATACAGTATCTTGAAGCAAATATGTTTCCAAATCCGGGGATTTTTACTGGTAACAGATTATAAATTGCGTCACTTTTCATATAAAATGTATGTGGGTCTGGCCAGACCCAAGCGCTACGTATATGAAAACAGAAAGTAGTGCTAAACGGAGGGTTAATGGAATTTATTTTTCTTTGTAATTTTGAGAGATTTACTGTTCTCAATATTGAAAAATCACAAAAAACCTCACTATTGTGTCACAATGATAACAAGTCGATTGCTAAAAAAATCTACAAAGCACCAGAAAATATTTACAAATTAAATGTAAATATATTTTTAAATATTAATTTAAGTGAACATTAATATGATTTTCAATTTTGTGGGATTGGAATTCAAAATATTCGAAAATAACTAAATCAAAAAGTGTGCGACATAGCCTCATTTTCAATTACGCAAAAGTTGTAATGGCGTTTTTAAAGCAAATGAATTCGTTTTTATTCTTAAAAAGTTTTCTTCAATATTTCGCGATCGTTTGTAATTGAAATTATTCTTTTTTTCATTTGGTACAATTTGGTGTGAAAAATATTCGTAAATATTAAATTAATAATCAATCGAAAAAAATATGTGATTAACATAACCACACTATGTTATGTTACATCAACAACATTAATTAATCAATACATATTGTTAAAAAAATCAAATTGAAAAAAATTAAATTTTCACATTTACAAAAAATAAATTCTCTAATACTCTACTCGACGCTACTTTACATTTATCACTTTTGAATTCATAACATATGTTGGCAGCACTGCTCTAATAAAAATAAGTTTGTTTAAATTTTCTAATTTATTATTTTTAAATATTGTGAACACAGAATCTCACAAAATTAGAAAGAAAATTAATTTCCATTGAAATTTTTTTTAAATTTATTTATTTTTACTTTTCCAAATTATTTTTCTGTACTTCTTTCACTTTTCAAATTGATTTTTATTATTGTGACTGTGCGCGCCATCTCTTAGATTCAACAAAAAACATTTGGGACAGATTAGTTTGATTTAATCAGGGATCGCGTCAGTGTTTTCGGTAACAGATAGACCATGGCTATGAAAGAACTTCATAAAATAGCAAAGATATAGTCGTTTACCAAAAATTACACCGTTATGTTGTTTCTGACGTCGAACAGACGCCAAAAAACTATTTGCCCAACAAATTCCAAAAAAGGAGCAAAGAAAACTACCCTATTCATCCACTCACCCAGATCTCACCCGCTCTCTTTCTCTATCTCATATACATTCCGTTTTAATCACCGTCATTTTGAGTAGTCATATAGTGTTGGCTGCGAACATCTACGAACACTAGTTCGTTCATTCGTAGGCATTAGAAATAAAATGTTTGTTCGTTCGTAGAAATTTAAAAATTGAATTGTGTTCGTTCGTTGGAATTGAAAAGAAAACCGTTCGTTCGTAGAAATCCGAAAGACCAATTTGTTCGTTCGTAGATTTTTAAAAATAAAAATTTTGTTTGTTCGTCAATCTTTTATTTCAAATATTAAGAAAATTATGAAAATACGAACAAACGAACAAAATTTGTATTTTTCAAAATCTACGAACGAACAAATTTGTTTTTTCGATTTCTACGAACGAACGAACAAAAATGTTATTTCTATTGCCTACGAATGAACGAACGTTCGTAGCCAATGAGCGCTAATATCGTCGATTTTTCTTTATCGATTCCACCAATACGACATCTACTAAAAAACTCGCCGATTTCTGTTACTAGTGGTGTTTTAATACAGCTCGTGTAAACGTACAAAGGAACACACTGACTCTGATTCTTTGTATGCGTATGTATTACAAATTCTGCACTCAGTCGTCAATCGTAGCTGCTTGTGCAAAATTTACAATACATACTAATACACAGGATCGGAGTCTGTGTGTTCTTTTGTATTAGTTCGTCTATAATACAGCCATAGCCGTATAGTTCGCTCGAGCTGTGTCAAAGCAACAGTAGTAACAAAAATCGGTATCTTTTTTAACAGATGTCGTATTCGTAGAATCGATAAAATTAATTTGTATGGGGAATATACGATACTAGTTCCCATCGTTCGTAGCCAACAGTAAGTACATATTAGAATTAATAAATGAATATGAATGAAACCCATACCACTAGTTTAGCAATCATAGGATCATAGTGCACTGATACAATATCGTTTTCCTTGACACCGGTCTCTATGCGAACGAAACTATTTGGAATTGGAGTACTTAAATGCGTCAGAAGACCTTCCCCATAAAATAAATAATAAATAAAACTTAATAAAAAATAGGTAATCCTTAAATATTTACAAGAAAATTTACCTGCTCGGGGCAAGAAACCATCCCTCGGATTTTCTGCATATATTCGTGCCTCAAATGCATGGCCATGCTTTTTAATTTCCTCCTGCGAAAGTGGTAATGGCTCCCCTGTGAATAATATATTTCCAAATTAATTAGGTAATTTTATAGTATAAACAAAAACGACCAAATGTTCATTCCGTAAAATATTTCTATTATTATATATTTATAGTAATTTGAAGTTAAAATATAAGTACCGGATGCTATTCGAATTTGCCATTCTACTAGATCTGTATTGGTTATCATTTCTGATATAGGGTGTTCAACTTGGAGACGAGTATTCATTTCCATAAAATGAAAAGATAAATCTTCTTTATCCAGAATAAACTCAACTGTGCCGGCACCAACATATCCTACCTATAAATAATAAAAAAATATGTACTAAAAAATGGCTTTTTAACTACTGAATGAAACATAAAAAAGTATTATTTTCTTACAGCCTTTGCCGCTTTAACTGCAGCTAAACCTAGCTCTTCTCTTAATTGCTCAGAGAGAAAAGGGGCCGGAGCTAAAATAAATAATAGAACTCTAATAAATTAAAAATATTGAATTTGAGCAATCAATTACCTTCTTCGATTATTTTCTGATGACGTCTTTGTACCTAAGTAATACAATATTTTTTATTTTGGAATTACAACAGATGAAAACATGCAGAGGGGAGAAAAAAATCTGGGAGCTAACAGAGAAGTTAGCAATATAAATTTATTGTGACTCTCCACACTGTATAATATTTTCTTACAAACCACAAATGATTGCTATAGAATAAAAACAGCGTATGAAAAGGTTACATTTCAAAGCGAAACACCGTCATACAAAATACAGCATAAAATGTATGTAAAAACAACCTTTGGTGTGCGACCGTATCATACGCTGTATTTATTCTAGAGAATTCAAATACATACGGAGCAATCACGTTCAAACAAGTAAACAGCATTTCCGTATGTGTCTGCAAATACTTGAACTTCGACATGCCTTGGTGTAGAAATATACTATAAATATAGAAATATACTGTAGAAATACTTGAACTTCGACATTTTCCAATTAAACCTTTCCAAACCTGTTCCAATACCTTTTCCAATAATACCGATGTGTCATTAAAAGCTTTTTTTGACTCGGTCCGAGCAGATTCCAATTGATTCAGAAATTCCGTTGCAGTATTTGCAATTCTCATTCCCTTGCCGCCACCGCCACGAACAGCCTTTATCATCAATGGAAATCCAATTTTTTGTGCTTCCGCCTGTAATTTTTTATTGGCCTGATTTTCACCATGGTATCCTGATGCAGAAAATAAATAAATTTTTTGAATAATATTCCAATATATTAGGATGCATCGATTTTTTTGTTTTGAAAATTAAAAAAACCCTTATTGCGTCTTTTGTAGACCTTTTTGATCTGGCTCTTTGGCCGATACCCTCCTTATTTTCACCCCGCTCAACTTGCTCAAGTTCGACATTTTTCGAATGATTTTGCCACATTTTTTTAAATCCCTATTAACAAAGCTATACTTGTCAGTATTACATTATTATACATGTAGCGGCATACACTATACCGCTGCAAGGCAGTACCAATATATACAAACACACAAAGGTTGACTCGATTTAGATAACATTTCTATTTTTACAACTAATGACGGCTCATTATTTTTGTTTTTTTCTTAATTTCACTTATTTTTGGATTTTAATAGTACTGAATATTTTTTATTTAAATTTTTTAGGGTGGTATCTTCAATTTTCTTCGAATTTTGAAAAGTCATTTTTTTATGTTCTTATAATTATGTCGGAATTATGTCGGTTAAAAAAAAATATGTTGGAATTATGTCGGTACCCAGGAAGCTCAATAAAAAAAGGACTTTTCGCATAAAGTCGAGGCTATTCATTTATTTTCCGAAACGACGACTAGTCGTGAAAAATAAAAGCATGGGAATTATGTAGGTTCAAATGATATACTCAGATTTTGAAATAAGATTGTGGTGTCGGTATGCTACCACAAAAATCATTTTTTCATGTTCGGAAAATAAATGAATAGCCTCGACTTTATGCGAAAAATCCTTTTTTTATTGAGCTTCCTGGGTACCGACATAATTCCGACATATTTTTTTTTAACCGACATAATACCGACATAATTATAAGAACATAAAAAAATGACTTTTCAAAATTCGAAGAAAATTGTAGATACCACCCTTTTTTAGACATTTTTTATTAAAAAGGATTGTAGTTCAATTTGAGCGGGGTGAAATTAGAGAGGGTGTCGACCAAAGAGCCAAAACAAAAGTTGTTACTCTGGTGTAACCAAAGCCGCACAAAAAATAATAATTTTCAGAACAAAAAAATCGATACATACTTTTTATACATAAATAAATATGTAAAGTGTCAAAATGCAAAATAACACAATTCTAACTAACCATTTATAATGGGAACCCCTGCTTCAGCCATTATTAATTTTGACGTACTTTTGATACCTTGAAGAGAATCGAAATATAAAATAATATTGATGTATATCTTATAGAAAAAATTTGTAATGTTTTTAGTACATTTTAACGTTGAAAAATGTAACGTTTTGGCCCATTCTGATGGTCATTTTCGTGTCAAATGGAATGGAGATTATATGCATAGTTTCCACGAATTCCAATGGAATGGATCCACTTGTTCCATAATGTGAACACAACCCAATACATTAAGTTTTAAATTGAAAATCTAAATCTCACGCTCAAATAAAAAAATAAACAATTTATTCGGAAAGAGATTTGCATAATTTAATTTAAAACTCTTTTATACGTCAATTATTGCATTTAATTTTCTTTATTTGTGGAATTATTATTTTGAATTTTCGAAATGCAACTGACATCTTTCTGACATTTTTCGATTGGCGCGGTGTATATGTGTCAAACCAAATGCAACGATATTCATTTATATGTATTGAAAATGTGCTCGCATCTTTAACTAACAATAGTTAGTATAAACAACTATCGCACCAACCGATTTTGTTTACAATAAAACTTTGTTTTGTTTTCAACAGGATTTCTTGAGAATTATATGAGAGTGTTTGAAGCGTGGTTTGGGCGATCAATTGGTTTTATTGTCATTTCAAAAACGATTTTATGTGTTTGGAATGCTGTTCCCTGTGGAATGGATATATTCACAGTTGGTTTTGTGAATGTCTTTGTTTTAATTTCGAAATAACAGAGTGTTAATAAAATTTACTGTGAATATTCCAACAACATTTCGATCGGCAAAATATTTGATGTCACATTGGAAATAAATTTCATCATTCGATTTAGAATACAGAGTCACTTTGTTGAGGTAAGAGGTGATATTTATAATGCGTTCTTCATGACTGTTTTATTTAATTTGTGATAGAAGTGTTTATATCTTATTGTGTTTGTGATCTATGCTATATTTGGTGTATTTTTTTCTTTAATTTTTGTACAATAGATCTGTCACGATGAGAAGAAAGAGAGCCAAGAATGGGCGCAGTACGTCGTTGAAGATGACTCTAAATCAAATGCTGCGGGAAGAGTATCGTGCACCATTCATCGATCAGGTCACATACTGGTGCCTTTCGGCCACAATGATTACGACTCTGGCGTCATAAATGTTTTTGTTCAAAGCAAACAAAGCCTTTGACGATGAAAATGCTCGATTTTTTAAAGGTGAATGCGATGAATACACGAATGATCAATTCAATAAATACGTGAATGGTGTAATTGGTATATGTTTCACCTCGGTATTACAAGAAAATTACCACAAATTACCGCTTGCATTTCGACGAACTGTGGAGCAAGCATGTCCTGATTTTCTTCGTCTAGAAAATTGGCCAGCTCGCGAGGGCATGGGGAACGCATTCAATCATCTCATCACCCAGTACATAACAAACTTGAAAAATAACATCAACGAAGCAGCAGGCATTGGATTGCCAATCAATGTAGACCTCCAGAATCTCATTCGTGATCGCTGGTTCCAAACCATCCCAATATTTATAAACATTCAGCGACAAATTTTCGATTTTCACGCGAAATATGAAAGGTTGAAACAACGCTGGTTCCAATATCGACGCGATCCGAACAACAATGTCATGCCGACCACTCCACTCCCGCCAAAAATAAAGAATTTTTTAGTAGTTCCAGTCCACGATTTCGATATGAAACATATCCGCATCGATATCCATCTTTTTTATTTGATTGCGCGCAAATTTGGAGCATTGAAATTGGCAAAAGGAAAACGCGGTCAGCCAATAAACATTGAAAAAACTGAATACGATAGCAATCCAGCTATCTATTGGGATTTAATATTTGACCTGCCAAAAATTTCAAAACTTGGAAATGGTAAGGAATTCGATTTTGCTGTGGCAACCGATAGTGTGGCAGTTTCGTTATGTTTCGTGAAGCCTGAACGCAATACACCAGAACTTGATAACAACACCATCAAAGAGAAGTACAATAATTTTGAGTTTGATTATGTGCTTGGAATCGATCCAGGAGTTCGTACATGGAACGCCACCGTTCGCAAACCCGTTCGATCCGGCAACGAGGTAAGAAACAATAAATTCATTCTTTATTTATCATTTGTTTACTTCTATGATTTTTTGTTCGTAAATCTCAGGAAAACATCACAATTGATGGTCCAAAATACCATTTCAAAGCGAAATATGGCAAACGCAAGCGTAAATCCGATCAATGGACTGAATTGTTGCAAAAACAACGGGAACTCGACTATAAACGCTATGCATTTTTTCCATCGCCGAAAGGACGTTCACATTGGATGTGTTACATCGCTTATTATGTGAAAATGATGAAACCAGCTATGGCGGTGTACACAATACGATTCCGTCTCGATAAATACATCGAAGAGAATCGGGCCAGTGACAAAATCGCGGCATCACTGACGAAAAAAAAGTCGGCGCTCGTTTTTATTGGTGCTGCTCAAATAGCTCCAAACTCACCAATTGGTATTAAAAAGCGATTGCGATGCCCGGGATTACGACGACTATTGAACAGTTTCAAGAAGTTGGGAAATTGTATTGTACGATTGGTCGACGAATACAATACATCGCAAACTTGTGCAAAATGTTTCCGGCCATTCGATCGATGAACCAAAAGCGATCGATACAAAGTTTGTCAGCATTGTATTCCAAGTGAAGATAAGTCATCGCAATGGAATTTACCGAACGTGATTATCACCATGAAAAGCAACCGAGTGTACCAACAATTGCGTAAATATGCAGTTGATTTTGTTAATCGATTGAATGCAGCCAACCCAGATCATATTCCAATGGATTAAGATGGTTTAGTGTCAAAACTTCAAGTATGTTTCAAAAACTGGCAACTAAACACTGGCATTTGGAAAAATGATCGAGCTCCATTTCAATTGAAAACTATTTGGCACCGGGATATCGTTGCAGCCAAGAACATCATGTACAAAGGTGAAAAAATATCACTGAAATTAAAAATGTTTAAGAATGTTTTGGCTAACAATTTGTTGTTTACGATTTTGTTTTTAGGTCTTTGTACGGTGTTGGGATTGGACATTCATCCGCAACTATTGAGACCACAGAATCAAAATGCTGCCGTACAAAATCAAGCAGCTGACGATGAGGATTCCAGTGACGATGAGGACTACGTTTATGTTCTCGATGTTTCCGATGACGAACAGTTTTAATTACATGTAGCATTAAGATTTCTTTTTAAATAATATTATTGTAACGTTTTGTTACTATGCTGGGCTTGAGTTTTGTGGCCTTGACCGAAGTACGGGCAGTTCGGTATATAAAATAGCCCGTAGGTGAGTATCATTTATTGAACTGAACCGATAGTATATTGATGTTGATTCATACTTAGTAACTGAGTTTATTTTTTCTCTTTTTTCTTTCCATTGCCACGTTGAAAATGACTGAAACTACACTCAAATCCGACCCCAATATTGACCGTCAACATATGCCCGATAATGGATGAATTTGCCACAACAAATGTTTTTTGGGATATCTTATAGAAAAAATTTGTCTATATATACATACCCATATCATGAATTGCCTTACTTGGCGGACCTATAAAAATTATATTCTCCTTTTCACACTGGTCAGAAAATTCAACACTCTCCGATAAAAAACCGTAACCCGGATGAATGGCACAACAATTTGCTTTTTTTGCCACCTCTATAATTTTTGAAGAATTTAAGTACGATTGTACAGATGGAGAGGGACCTATATAATAGGCTTCGTCAGCTTCATGAACATGAAGAGTGTTTGCGTCAGCATCTGAAAAAACGGCCACAGTACGAACACCTAATCGACGAGCTGTTTTAATGACACGACATGCAATCTCTCCCCTATTGGCTATTAAAATTTTTTTTATGTTTTTTTTTATTGAATGAGTCTGAGGTTGTAAACTAAGATATCTGGAATTAAAAAGTTTTATATATTCAAAAAATATTCAAAATGTTGTGAAATCATGAAAAAATCATATACATATATTTCTTCAAATTTGGAGTTTGTACTGCTCCATTTGATTTTATCAAGCGTAAGAATCGTATTTCGTTACAAGATTAGTCTTGAGCACATTTTTTATGTTTAATTGCGATTTTATATTTTTTGTTTGAATATTCGTTATTCTTATTTAAAAATTTAAATTAAAATAATATACCTTTTTGCTAACGAGAACGAGAATCGCGTGTAAAACATTTTGAATCAATTCCACGAAGAAGTATTAAAACAAGTCGTTCTGTGTATTCTGATAAGACTTCGATTAGTAATGTCGATCACTTGTTTTGATAATTCATGTGCTGTTTGTTATTGATGTTATTCACAATTTTTGGAATTTTCAACATGCTGCTGAATTCAATTGCAAAAGTTGAAAATAGGTGAATATAATACTTGTATAACACAATTTCTGTCATTTTTGTACATAACCAAACTAACTATTCAATTAAAGTTCTGCAGTATCCAGCAATTAAAAATGTAACATTTTTTAAAACACAGCGGACGGAAAACCGCTTCAGTGTGATGAAATGTCAAGTATATACGAAATATTCGATCTCTCTATTTTCCCCCTGAAACAAATTTCTCTCTATTTTCTCCATATTCCAACGATACTTTAAACACTGCAATTGATGTGTAGTTAGAAAATCGATATTCTGTTCGAAAAACTTAGCATTATAAAAAAAGTCGTATCAAAAGTCATTTCGTATGTGTGTCTGAATTTGTGCAATTGTGCCTAGTTGATTCTGAGCTTTTTGAAACTTTCTGGAGTCAAAGTACATAAAATAAAAGGTCTTACATTCATAAGATTTTTTCCGCACTGTGATCTACAGCATGCATTTATTACATATCATTTGATGCAAATTTAACCCTCAAGTGCATTAATTTTTCCCAGAGCAGAGAATTGAATGAGTTAGAATAAAAATTCGACTTGTACGCAGAGTCTATAAAAGATGAACACAGCGCTTTTTACTTTTCCGCACACACCTAGTGTGAAAGGGGAAAGTATTGCAATAGATCAAAATTTACTAAAGTTCAAAAACATGTTTTCTGGACGTTTCTGAGGTCAGAGAACCCGAATCAGGCCGTTTTGAGCATGGTTGTTGTGGGTCTGTTCCACGTCGTACGTCGTACGT